GGGCCCTCTGTTCCCCTCAGAAGGGAATCGCCTATGACAATTACCCTCCTTTTTTTCTTAGCAGCGGCAGTCATAATGCGTGGGGCTGACTGCCTCACCCTAGGCAACCCCCTGGATGGACCTTCGTCTACATCCTCGCTTGCCTCGCCCTCAAGTTCCAGGGCCCCATATCTGTTGTGTAAAGGCAACCGGGAAGGTGAGGGAGGCCGGGCGGGGGTTTGCCTGGCACCCCGAGCAGGGACCTGTTTCCATCCTCCCCCGTTGCTTAGGTCCCCTCTTTCTACCTGGTGGCAAGAAGGCAGGGGATCCTCTGCTTCTCGCGGAGCCTCCTTCTGCTGCCTCTGCCTCAGGGACGGTAGGGTGCGGCTCCACCAATCTATCTCCCTCTCACACTCCCGGATACTCCTCAACCTTTCCACCTCCTCCTTCAGCTCTGCCACCAGGCAGAGCAGATCATCCACCTGGTCACACCGCACACAGGTGGTGTCTCTGCTGCCCTCCGGTAGAGCTGACAGGCTCAGGCACTCCCTGCAGCCAGAGACCTGGACAGCTGTATGCTTGCGTGTGAGCTCCGTCTGGGTCGCCGCATTCCTTCTGGCGACGGCTTTCGGCCGAGTGGAAACCATAGCCGGTCCTCTTCTCGGAAGCCTACGAGTAGTCAATATATTTGACTACTTGACTGTCATGTGTGCTCATCAGTTCTAAACAATGGAGTCAAAAAAGGTGACTTAAAGCTACCAAAGATTTGTCTCAATCAGCACACTCTGATATAATAGATTAGACTTGCCAAATGCTCACATAGTTTATCTCTGGAGTGTTATTAAAGTGAATTCTAAAGAGATTTTACATCTGAGTATGCAGACATACATAAATACTGACCATGTACAAATAACAGTGGCAAACCAACGAGACCTCGTAGACCTACATATCAGCTTGAAGGCCTTTGAAAATGCGTTCCCTCATATACTAGTGAAAAATTTGCACTGAGTGTTTCTTTCCAAACAACTTTGAGAGTACTGTACAATTTCCTGTAATATAAAAATGCACTTTGGAATGAGATAGGAATTACAATTAAGTATCTTCTTGGAAATTTAATGAAGTAGAAAGTCAGCTGCTTCAGACCAAAGCAAGAATAGGCAAAAAGCAGTAGCATATCTACTCACAGATTTTAAGGCCAGAAAGTACCACTACGACCATTGATGCTCAGCTCGTGCATACACACTTTGCGTAATTTCCTACAGCAAATCTATCAAGTCCGTAATAATTATGAAGCTGTTAAGCACGTGATAAAGTTGGAACAATAAGTTTACAATAAACTTATGATACCTGATATACAGCTTTGCATAGTCTTTCTCTGTAATGACAAAAATTCATTTTGTTGCATAAATAGAGATTTGGTTGCATAAATGGAGATTAAAGTTGCATTAGGTTGTATGAATGCAGATTTCCTTTATAGGTGAGGAGAAGTAGCATGTGAAGATGTTTC